ACTTCTGGCCACCTCTTCTTTCACACAAAGGAGATAACTGGGTGCTCAACTCACGGCTCTGTCCATTGAAAAGCCTTTCCCTCTTTACTGTCTTTCAAGTTTCATCCTGAGTGTGGTATAAAGTAGTTAGCTGTAATCCATTTACCGCCTGTACCCACAAACTGAACAAACCCATATGTAAACCAAACCCTAACCTTTTGCTCTTCTTTCAGCTGTTCGCACAGAACTCACCCTCCCCACACATGGCCATGTATGCAAGCATGGAGGAGGTGTGCTGGTAAAATCCTGTTGGGTGACGATGGGTTTCTGAGCTACTTGCTTATGCAACTTACTTATGTTCAGAGCCCTCAGTTCTGTACATCCCAATGCACAGTTTCTATCTTATAAGAAGTTTCTTTTAGGTCTATCCAACTTTATGACTTGGTATAGCTGACAGGGCTAAACTTATAATGGGCTGTTTGGATGCGTAAAGTTATATCCCATGGTGAAGAACTTCATTTCTACCAGGATTCGCTAATATGCCATGTGCTGTTTTTGCTTCAGATGGCATGGTCTTCCTCTAGAATCCCATGGGCCACTACTATAATTTTCCAACTGGGACTTGCCAAAAATTCTATGCCACATCTTCTCCCACCATTGACACCACTAATAGAATAGCATCTGCTGATTTTATGGCCCATGCAGCAGAGCTCTTAGCACTACAGTTTGACCTGCTGCAAAGTCCTTTCCCATTCTGAGCCTCACCCAAAACTGTGCATGCCAATTAGTAGATGCACAGAGCAGTATTCTTAGATATGGAATGTGTTAACTTCAAAAACCAAAGAGGCTTACCAGGTGCTGTGCTTCCTTCTTTGTGGTGGGGGCTCTAAGCGTCAGCGGTTTTTATTTTACTTTGGAGGGGATAGCCCAGCATGCTCTTAAACATTCGGGAGATTCCAAAAAGCTCCACTGAAGTAGCAAGTCCTTAAATCTTCCTTGAATTTATTCCCCACCATCTGGAGTGCATATATCTTACCAAGGCTTCTGGTACATTTGTTAATTCTTGCTTATTCTGCACAATCTGTGTGATGCCATTGATGTAATGGATCAGTGTAACATCCTGTGGATGATCAAGCTGTCTAGGCATCTTTGGAGTATTACAGAGGGAGAGACATTAGCGTAGCCCTGAGGTAAAATTATAAATTAAAATAGTTCTTCCTCATGAGTGTAAACTGTTTCTGATCTTCTTTTATAGGTGGAATGAAAAAGAATGCATTCATCCATCAATGGCCACATACCATGTACCAGAAGCCTTATTAACCTGTTCTAGGAATGACACCACATCTAGCACAGCAGCTGTGATCAGTGATCTTACTTGGTTGAGCTTGCAGTACTCATCAGTTATTCTCCAAGATCCATTTAATTTATAAAGGGGGCATACTGGGTTATTAAAAAGATATATTGTAGGGAACACCACTCTATATCTTTTAGGACTTTAAGAGTGGCACCAATCTCTGCCATCCTCCTAGCTCTACTCTGAGATGTAATATTTTGTATTTGCTATCTTGGCAGGGGAAGATGGGAATGTGGCAATTTCAGAGGTCTCCATTTGGCCCTCCCTTCTGTGAGAGCTCTTATCGCAGAGGCCAAGTACCTGATGTAAGTATATCAATTCTAATTGAACACTCAAGGATTGGAGGAATGATGGAATGACCGACTGTGTGTGTCCATAGACCCAATGAGCCCACTGAGACCTAGACTTTAGTAAACACTCCATTACATTACCTTGTTGCCGTAAGTCACCACTCCCATAACATTTCAATGTGAACTCAGATAGTGTACCCAATAGTCTTCAAATGTTGATTTGTTTCTTTCTGCATTGTATGTTCACCTGAATAAATGCCCATAAGTCCTTTTGGGGAAGGACTGGGGAGATCATCACAATAGATGTTAGCAGTGGTGTCCTGCCTCCTGGTGTCCTCCCTTCTAGCAACCTCCTAGCAATCTTCAGTCAATGGGTTCTCAACTGGAAAACTGGCTCAGAACTGGACTGGACAGTGAGCAGAGGTATGTGACTTTTTATTGAGGTAACAGTCTTCAGTCTCCTGCTTCTCCATTCTTGCCTCTATGTTTTTGGTCATAGAAGTTAAGCAACACCCTTTTGGCTGCCTGTCTATTTTGCCACTAGGGATGCCATGTTCTTTTAATTACTCCCACAACTTCCTATGGGTAAAGCCTTCTTGGCTGCTTCTCTGATCTAGCTGGTCATTATGGCAGTTGTGGCTTCCTGACTTCTGGTGGTTAACTGTCACCACCTAGCCACTATTACTCTGGGGTCTCATCATCCCCATGGATATTAGCAAGCCCCACTCTGTGACTGCCTGTCCTACCATCAGCCCTGACCTACAAAGGAAAGCTACTGCTAAACATTCTAGAGATGCCAATGCCTCTCTCACCAGCTCATTGCTAATGGCTTTGAAGGGTGTGTACTCTGGTGTTCCTATGTAACATAACCCTTGAGTGTGTCTTCTGAACTTAAATAATATATCTATTCTAACATATCCATTTCCTTCAACCTCTTTATTCCTTCCTGTACTATCTACCAGGGCAACTCAGGCATTTTCACTCTAGTGAATGTAGGCTACAGCTTCTTCAGACTTCTAAGAGTGACCCTATTCCTTAGGTTCTGTGCCAGAGTATAAAGTCATATAGCTTCCCTCTTCCTTACACACACACACACACACACACACACACACACACACACACAACCCTCAAAGTCACTGAATTATTCCTTATCTAATCAATATTCTGGCTCCCTTGATCAAACACCTCAAAATCCAATCCCAGTGCTACTCCCTGGGCTCCTAATGGCACACACTATTTTTTGCAATTCTTTTGAGGCATAGTTTCTTTGTTCTTTTATAAGGCCTAGGACATCCCTAGCCAGCTTAGGCTGGATAGCCATCAGACAGTGATGTTTGTCAGGCCTCAAGAAAGAGAGAGGGAAAGGGAGGAGAAGAAGGAAGGAAGGAAGGAAGGAAGGAAAGAAGGAAGGAAGGAAGGAAGGAAGGAAGGAAGGAAGGAAGGAAGGAAGGAAGGAAGGAAGGAAGGAAGGACAGACAGACGGGAAGGAGGGAGGGAAGAAAGTTGTCTAGTTTTAGATTGAAGTACAGTTCTGAGAAAGTTTTAGCAACGCTAAAGGACATGAAGTCCCAGAGCCAAAGTTACTTCAAAGAAGTCTTATGTCTCCTAGATACAGGCCAGCCTTAGGATCTTTGCCATACTTAGTCTTGGCTGGCAAGAGCATGCAGGAAGCATGATCTTGGTAAAACTTGGTGATGGGTTTCAAAACAAAGCAGCATAACTGTCATTCAACCATGTTCTCTGTAATAGGAAATCTGAAAGGCACATCTTTCTGGCTACCACATTTCATCTGGGACATCAGCTGGGGTGACTTAAATGGCTATGGACTGGCTATGTATTTCTCTTTATATCTACATGACCACTCCATGGTCAGCTTCTGTGTGGCCTGGAGGTCTCAGGGTAGTTGTACTTCTTACATAGTAAGGGACCAAGATTGTTTGTGCCAAGAAACCTAGATGGAGGATATACGTCTTCTTATAACCTTGCCCTGGGCTGTGGACTGAATGTTTATGTTCATTCCCAAATTCATACGTTGAAGCCTAAATTTTCAATGTGACAATTTTTGGAGGTGGGCCTTTGGGAGATAATTGGGTCATGAGGGTGGAGTCCACATAAATGTGATTAGTGCCCTACAAGTAATGACATGAAAGAGATCATCTCTCTCTCCTCACCATGTGAGGATTCAATGAGAAGACAGCCATCTGCAACCTAAGCAGATGGCCCTCACCAGATATCAGATCTGCCAGCATCTTGACCTTGGATTTCCCAGCTTCCAGAACTGTGAGAAATAAAGTTCTGTTGCTTAAGCCACTCAGTCCGAATACCACAGTATTCTGTTATAGCAGTCTGAATTAACCAAGACATCCTGGAAACCACGTAGCAGTCTTAATTAACTAAGACATAATGGAAACCATGTAGCATCACTTCCTGGCATTGTGTCAGTCACATAAGGTCAGCCCAGATTCAACATGGGATGGCCTGCACAAGAATTGGGAACTGCCTTGGAGACCAGCTACCACAGTGGGATATATAAGAACACATGTTCTTGTAACATTTTATATGCCTAATATAAGTGACTCAGGTCTTTGTACTTTTCACATCATCACTCATTGAATCATTCAATTTGGTCTATCATAATAACTCATGGGTTTTGAATTTTTATTCTTAGGTACTTTACTGTATGACTGTGAAACTTTTTTTCCCAGTACTTTTCATTCAAATGCTTTTAAACCTATTTCAGATACTCATTTGTTATCTATAAAATTTTTATTGTTTACAAAGGATTTGAATACCTAAATATTGTAGGATACTTGGAGTAAAAGAATAACACTATTTTAAAAATAAAAGAAACCGTACAGTTCAAGGAATCCCTACCAACAAAGCCCTAATGGAAATTCCCTTCCTAAAAAGCCAAAGCCTGTCTTCGAATGTTTTTCATGACTCAACTGCTATTTGTTTTCATTTTCCCTGGGCATAAAATGACCTTTTGAAAAAAAAGTTTATTAAAGTTGTTTATAGACATATTTCCTAGTCCAATAGTAATAAACATCATTTTTCTGGTGTAAATTGTTTTTAAAAAGATATGTGTAGGACATTTGGTATTTGTTCATCTTAACCTACCTTTCTTACTCCAACAACTGTCTTTGGGCAAGGGTGGTTTTGGTAAAGGTGAGAAGGAGGAGCTTTCCACAAAACCACACACATTCGCTCATAAAAATAAAACCAGGAGTCTTGGTTTAAGTCCGGCCAGGTTGGCTGCTCAAATAAATTCATGATCGGTCTTTAACATGGCTCTAATGTATCTCTCCCACCTCTTGTCACAGCAGAATTCCAGTCAAGTTTTCCCCAAGCAAAGGATTTACTTACACTGGTGCAGACCTGGTTTGAAACATTTTATTGGCAACACTGATGTCATATTTAGGAACCATAGACTTTTGTCAGACTGTGTTAGCTTCAATGACAAGTATTAGTGGTCAATGATATTTGAAATATTGTTAAAGTACCTAGAAATAATAGGCATTAAAATTCATTTCGTTCACTGCAACAAACCTCTAAAGATTTCATGTCTTCAGTGGAACTGGCATACTGTAATTGTTATTTGGAACTTAATGTAACCTCAACAGCAGCAGAGAGAATACAGTCCTCTCATTATGCACATGCTCTAGGATCGTTTATTTTAATGCTTTCAAATAAATACGTTCCATGCAGCACACTACAATAAATAAGGAGCAGCAATGTTCTTCTAGTAAATCCATTCATAATGTGAGTCACCATGTAAAACACCACATCTCAAGTCTTTGGCCCTGTACCATAACATGAGGCACACCACATCTGCACCCAATCATATCTGGCTTCATATGGATTTAATAGGACTATGCCAGGAATGCATGTAAGCACAAATTTAACCAGAGGTTTCCAGCTATTAAATACAGCTACTAAGTAGTTAAAAGGCAGCAACTTAACCCATAACCCCCCTCCCTTCATTTTTGAGACAGAAATATAAAGATAGAAATGCTCTGGTGAATTTTGGGTCAGTGGAAAGCATGGTGGGACACATTTAGAATGCTTGGAGCAAAGCTGGCACAATATGGCACCCAAAATGTCACAGCAATACTGATACTGAATGGACACCGAATACAACAGACTTGACTGCAGACGCTGAGCTCTAGGACACAAAGTTGGGGGCTGCAGTGGGGGTGGCTCATTTCCACTAGGCAGATAACTCAACAGTGCCTTCCTCCTCGCTATCAGCTCTGTTAGCGCGAATCTCCACAAGGGTCCTGGCAAATCGGGTCCATTCATCATTGTGGGGAACTGCAAGCTGCAAAGCAAATCAATGGAGAAATGATGAACAAGATATCTTTCCTGTCTGAAAGCCCTGAAGCCTGAATGACTATCCCTTTGCCCTCACCCCCTCCAAAGCAGATATTTCCCTTGGAATGTAAAGGAAATCAAATATTCTTCTTTGGATCAAGCAGGGCCTGAGGTGTCGCTCTTTAATAAGAGAACCATGTCACTCTTGGAAGCAAAAGCACTCACAGAATTTATAAAATTTTAAAACCTATGTAAACTATACAGTCACAGTAGCCACATTAAAGTGCTTTTAGTAATGAAATTTTTTCATAAGAAGACCAGACTTACAGTGAAACAGCAAAGAAAAACTGCGTTATTGACCAAGATTTTCAAATAACTGTATATTTTATCCCTAGTCAATGGTATTAATCCTTTTTCTAAAGTATCGCTAATGGGGCAGTATGAAGGCAAAAGAATAGCTTATATATACAAAGAAATATTCCTCCTATGAAATAGTACTTAGGCCTTTCCAGTAAGATTTATATGATGATAACTATGAATAATAGTAATAGTAGCTATTATTTACCGAGAGTTGTGTTCTAAGTACATTACATGTATTAACTCATTCACAATAAGAATCCTATTGTGCCTCATATTCCTAAATCAGAGGCACGCAAAGATTAAATAATCTTACTAAGGTTGCATAGCTAGCAAATATCAGTGTCAATGGAATCTGGTTCCATTATGAACATCCCTAGCCAGTATGCTATACTGATTCATCAAAAAGGGGATTTATAAAATTTCCAAAATATCTTCTATGTACTATTCAGTGAGGAGGAAATTAATGCCTCTTCCAATGCAAACTGAATCTATGAATTTTTGTTAGTAGTTTTAAAGGATAATGTTTTCTCCACATAGCATCCAAAAATAAATTGCTTAAAAATATCATGCAAGTATCTGGGATAGAATATTTGAGGATGAGAAACAGGATTTCGTAGAAGTCTGAATGGTTTTCACAGAGAATAAAATTGATTTAGATTTTAGACGCATTTTCTTGGAGTTTTACCCTATAATATAGTGTAATTCAACCATAGGTACTAGTGCTACAGTACATTATCCACATATTCCATAAACATTAAGAACACACAGGCATCTCAATTAATATACTTTTTAATGAAAAAAGAGGAAGCAAGTAAACCTAAGCTTTGAGATTGCTTCTGCAGCTGGAAAATTTCTCACCACACAGAGCCAAATGATTAGAACTTAAAATTTTTATTACAAGGATAATATTCTCAAATACTGTCTGTCCAAGAAAACTTATTGGAAAGTGGCAACTTCATTATGCAAAGTATATCCTTAAATTAGTGTTCTGGTATTAAGGCTAAATGTTTCAAGTATATAATTCTGGAAATTATATACAGGCAAGGAAAGTAAGTTCTTTGACTGATTTTGCGAAGTGCAGTACCAATAAGAATTCTTACTTAGTCACATGAATGAGTTTCTGAATGGTTAAATGCTACTACAGTTATTGAAATGAATCCAAATTTCTTTGTAGACAATAACGCAAGTTCACAATAGTCTTGAATGATGCTGATAACTTTTTGCTCAGTCTGTTTTCCCTACTTTGGGCTCTTATCCTGTATTCCACGATTCTTCATTTTTCTCTTCAATTTTAGAAAATACTGTACCTGGGAAATGAGGCCCCCAAAATGTATGATACAAACAAGCTCACTAAAAACATAACCAGCAAAGGGTTGGTATCACATTTATGTAAAAGAATAGGACCACTATTTCTTTTCTCTCTTCCAACCGCTGAGCAAGCCTTTCCAAAAATAACCATGAAACAAAAGCCCAAGAAGAGACAAAAGCCTAATCATGACAACACATTTATAACTTTTTCCCATATAAAGTAAGAATCAAACTAAAGCTGAAATGCCCCATAACTTCATATAACTTTAAATATTGGAGGAAAAAAACAGGTCTCAATAGTACACAGTACCTTGCTCATAAAGAGCTGAGTTTCGTTTCCAAACATAAAGCTATATTATTAGTTAAAATGGTACAAATTTAAGTTAATATACGATGACCTACGCAATATTTTATTGATAGCAATGTGTATAACAATAAAATAGGTAAATGTATTTACATAGTTTCATGTAGTAGTCATGGCAAGACTGTTCAGAAACAGCCCTAGTAAAGATTACGGAACATTAAGGTTTGAATAAATGTCTAGATACAGTTTAGAACATTTACACTATATAAAATTGCACATCTCAAAAATTACATAACTTCTCAAAATTGAATTTTATCAAATTTAAATGTTTCTTTTAAACACACAAAATATAAACCAGCAAGTGAATTATATGTGACTTTCTTCATGGGGGTGGGATTAATAGTGCTGTAATACTAACACATGCCCTTAGAAATACAGATTCACCCTCGCAAAAGTGTCACAGTAATCTAACACATCTTGTCCTCTTTCTGATCTGCTGAAGTTTCATTTAGATTGGCAAAATGTTTGAAGTTTGTTTTTTAGGGATATTTGTTTTGCCAAGTCATTTCCTCTTTATGGTATTATAATTTTCACAGAAATATTTATGTTCTTGGTTCACAAAAATTCTAAAGTAGAACATGATGAAAACACAATTCCTTCTAGAAACTTGAAATCAATTTATCTACCTCATCCTATTATACTTTTCATCTTGTTGACTGTAAAAATAACCCAAGGTGATTGTAATGCTAGATCTAGAAGGTGAACTGCAGACTGCCCCATTTTTAGAATTAAATATCACCATCAGGAAGTACTTTAAGTATAATCTTAGCTTGAACGTGTGAATGTGTATTCACAGGCTATTTCTACACCCAAAGTAATAATTTTTGACATTAGAATTACTTGTAGGTAAAACCAAACAGGTGTCCTAACAAACAAGAGGGCCACTCTTTTCACCTTGCTGTTTCCATGACTGTAAACAGCATCCGTTTGGACAGAACTGCCCTTCCTACCCTTGGCAGTTCCTGGCTCCTCTCACCTGGTACTCTCTGATTAGAAATGGCTAGAAAGGAGGCTCAAGAACATAAATGCATTTATGATTTTCTCTAAGAGATTTTTAAATCCCATACTATCTTAATCATTAAATAGGAAAAATCTTTGTTCATGTTTCTTACAGAACAGACTGATCTCATGTCCTACCTTGCATATAAATTTATTCAATACTCATTCAATCAGCATTGATTGAGTGCCAATTATATGTCAGGCACTGTGTTTGAATTAAAGATACAGTAGTGAATTGTTTTGGAATATGATGACTATGAAATACTGACAAAATTAATTATGATTTTTGTAGGTCAAACTGTGTGAATACTGGCAAAAAAAAAACTTCACTGACATTAAAATATGAATAGCCTAAAATTTACCTTCCTTCAGTGACAACTGTAACATTTCCTGTTACCTGTTGTGTGTCAAGCAAGTAACAGGGAGGCAAATGGCATGTTAATAACATTGCTTCAGCATCTCTTCAAGTTTCTATTAAGGCATTAAAGGCTAAATCTAGAGCATCACTATGGATTTTTTTTTCTCTGAGAATAATAGCTTAGAATAATTTCCAAACAATTTACATTTGTGATAGGAAAAAAATTCGTAAGTTATTTTGACCAATTAAAAATGTATAGTTAAATTAAGGGAACACCATTAAAAAAAAATTAAAAAAACTTCAAAAATTGCCCAGCATTGTTCTAAGTCAAAGTGGATCTGGAAACATTTTCTGCCTCTAGATTCATCTCTGATGAAGTCTGCATCATAGGTTAGGGATGACTCAGATATTCCAACTGCTTCATCGACTGAGTTCACCAACAGCCAGTCCATCTCCTGGTTCAATGACTGTTTTCTAATTTTTTGCTAAACATATAAAGCACTTTCATGCCAAAGCACTCGAGGTTCAGATTCCTGAGATAATAAAATCTTAACTCTAAGAGAGATCACCTTTTGTTTTTTTTGTTTTTGTTTTTTTTTTTTTTTGAGATGTTGCCCAGGCTGAAGTGCAGTGGCGTGATCTTGGCTCACTGCAACCTCCGCCTCCTGGGTTCAAGTGATTCTCCTGCCTCAGTCACCCAAGTAGCTGCGATTACTGGCATGCACCACCACACTCAGCTAATTTGTTTTGTATTTTTAGTAGAGACTGGGTTTCACCATGTTGGCCAGGCTGGTCTCGAATTCCTGACCTCAAGTGATCCGCCCATCTTGGCCTCCCAAAGTGCTGGGATTACAGGTGTGAGCCACCACGCCTAGCAATATGATCCTATTTTTACAACCAATGAAACTAAGGGCAAAGGTAGTTACTGAGGTAGGAATTTGGACATAAGAAGGAGGTAAAATGAACCTCCGATTTGGACAGGAGACTCAAGTGCTGTTCTCATCTTGGTTGCTGGCAATGGTCAGGCACTTACCCTCTCATTGCCTCATTTGTAAAGTAGGGATGATGCTGTCTGACCCATTCATCAACAGAGATGTGGAGAGCATGAGAAAGGTAATCTAAGTAAAGGAAGTACTATGAGTTCATCATGGATTGTCATGCATTCTTTTTCCTTAAATTATCAGTCAAATTGAACAGGCTCCCCAAAATGATATGTTTTGTGGCATACATACCCATTTTTACAGTATTTTTCTGTTTTTTAAAAAAAGTTCCTTAGGAATTAATTCTGATTGTTATGTGAGGATGTTAAGAAGCAGGGCATAGACCTTTCTTTAACAAGTAGGAGAGGACAGTATAGGGAGCTAAATGATTTGCTAAAGACCACATAACTTTCATCTGTTAGTGTGGGGCAATCAAGCCTCACCCCTTTGAGAAATGCCAGCATTCCATGACAGAAGGGCAGGCAGGTAATGTGTTTTGAATCACCTGCTCAAAGATTCTGACGATTGTTTTAAATCTTCTAAGATTCTTGGAAGACAAAAGGTCAACAAGCAAAAGCAAAAGTGCAAAAATTGTGGAAAAATTCACGAAAATGTATCATTTTAGCATCCCAGAGCCC